AGGTACGATAGCATGAGGCGGCTCAGTGCAGTAGTGGCAGGGGTGGAGTAGCGTGCGATAACGGCGTCGTACAAGGTCTTAGCACTCTTGTACGACCCAAAGTGCGCACGCTCAGCGGGAGGGAGGTGGCGACGCACAGCAAGACGTGCAGCAGCATCGCGTGTGGCCCACTGTGAGCGAACAGTGGCATCCTCAGTAGCAGCAGGGGCGGGAGAGGCACCAGAAGTGAGATCAAAGAGAGAGAGTCCGTCAGCTCTGTCGCACTGTAGGAAAAGCAGTAGGTCGTCTACCCACACGTCAAAGTCAATGGCTCTGCCCTGAGCGTCAAAGGCGAGGACACTGGGGGTAGCCATGACAGCAGTAGAGAGAGGGCAGTGCGCAGAGTAAGGCTCAGTGCTCACCAGACAGGGCACTGCAAGGAGGGCTCGGGCGGCTCGGGCGGCTCGACAGCTGGGCGGCTCGGGCGACTCAGCGGCTTGGGCGGCTCTGGCGGCACTGCAGCTGGGGCGGCTCGGCTGCTGGGGCGGCTCGGCTGTTGGGGCGGCTCGGCGGCTGGGGCGGCTCGGCTGCTGGGGCGGCTTTGCTGCTGGGGCGGCTCGGCCGGGAGATGCAGGGGCGGGGCCGTCAGGTGCAGCGGCGGGCCGGCAGGTGCAATGGCGGGTCGAGCCGGCAGGTGCAGCGGCGGGCCGGCAGGTGAGGCGGCGGGCCGTAGGGTGCAGCGGCGGGCCGTAGGGTGCAGTGGCGGGCCGGCAGGTGCAGCGGCGGGGCCGTCAGGTGAAGCGGCGGGGCCGTAGGGTGCAGCGGCGGGCCGGCAGGTGCAGCGGCGGGGCCGTAGGGTGCAGCGGCGGGCCGGTAGGTGCAGCGGCGGGGCCGTCAGGTGAAGCGGCGGGCCGCTGGGTGCAATGGCGGGCCGTAGGGTGCAGCGGCGGGCTGGCAGGTGCAGCGGCTGGCCGGCAGGTGTAGCGGCGGGGCCGTCAGGTGAGGCGGCGGGCCGTAGGGTGCAGCGGCGGGCCGTAGGGTGCAGTGGCGGGCCGGCAGGTGCAGCGGCGGGCCGGCAGGGCCGCGTCAGAGCCGGCGGCGGGGCCGCGTCAGTGGAGGCGGCGGGGCCGCGTCAAGCAGGCGGCGGGGCCGCGACGTAGCGGGCGGCAGGGCCGCGTCAGAGCCGGCGGCGGGGCCGCGTCAGTGGAGGCGGCGGGGCCGCGTCAAGCAGGCGGCGGGGCCGCGATCAGGAGGGGTGGCGGGGCCGCGTCTGAGGGACAGCGGGGCCGCGAGGGAAATGGCGACCCGAGGGGTCGCTAAAAAAAATGCGCGCCTCGGGGCGCGCTTCGGTGGGCCCTAAAAAAAACGGTCCTTAGGAAGGACCCGCTCTATACCATGTGAAACAAGTAAACAGGAGTGGAATGACTAAGGAAAGATTGGGTACAAATACAACCCTAGAAACCCTATACCCCATATGTGCTACCCCACTATGGCCTACAGCAAATATGTCATATAAATCTGACACTTGTGTGCCTCTAATCTCATCTCCTCACTTCTACCCCAACCCACACACACAGGTCTCTGTCGAACAACATCTTGGCGGGTTCGATTCCCAATGGCATCTCCATGCTTTCTTGGCTCACTTATCTGTATGAAGCATCTCGACAGCCAATCCAGGCTGAATGTCCTGCATCTCCTTCTCCTGTCCTCCACTCCTAGGCTAGGGATGAGCAAAACTAGTGCCGCATGCTGGTCTTGTCCAGCCTGCATTGTTGGTCGGGCTGGCCCGAGGCTTTTGGGTTGAGCAATGGCCGACCTTTGGCCGTCACAGAACTAGATTCTTGCCAGGTTGGCTTGGCTCGTCCGAGCCAAGTAGGCTCGTCATGAGCTAGGATAGCCATGTATTTACAATAGGCTCATGACCACTCCCTTGACGGACCTAGCTATTCCAATTTACTTCAAGTTGGTTGGTGGAACCAATGCTGATGGATTGCGGTCATATACTATGGAGTAGTTCGTTTGCCTCTAATTCAAAACGCTCCCACAGTTTCGGTGCACTGCATTTGAAAGCTCGCAGACTTGCAGGAGTTTGTGAAGTGGAATTTTGTCTTCTCCCACATCATTTTGCTCTTCATTTCCCACTCGCATAGCTCGTGTGCTGTGCGCCCATCCATGTGCCCTTTTCCATTCTTCTTTCAAAGACCATCCCAATTCCTTGCGTTCCCTCATGCCACAACCTAAACTACGTTTCCCCAACTACTTACATTCCCCTCCACCCCCCACCCTCCCTACTTCCAGCGAAGGCTGCTTGTTCACCTCCGTGCTCCCAACAGTGCTCTCCACCTGATGGGATCTCGACCCATCGAACCCCCGTGGGCCGCCATGCCTGCTATACTCATCTCTTCTTTTTCTCATCCAATTCCCACAACACACAATGCACAGGGATCTCGCATCCAATTCCCTCAGTGGCAACATATTCAGTGACTTTGAATTGCTTGATCGCCTCAACTATCTGTACGTTGTTGTTTGGCCCTCTACAGTCTGTTTCAAAGAATTCTGAGAGCGTGATCAGCTAATGACTACAAACAGATCTAGATCTATCAACTCACTTCCATTAGCGCTTTGTGGCCCCTCCACACCCCAGTTGCCGTTCGTAAGCATTCTGGGACCACCTGTGACCAGTTCAGTGGTTTGCCAACACCATGCATCTTCTCTCAGTAGTTGTTCCCCAGTGGTTTGCCAACACCATTCTGGGACGACCTATGAGCAAGTACCAAAGCCAAACTGATCTTGTAATAGGCTGAGCAAGTGGGCTTGAGAAAGTGCCAGAACGGAACCGAACTTGTGAGTATGCTTGAGCAAGTACCAATCTGGAATAAACTTCTAAGTATGTTTGAGAAGATACTTAACTGGAACTGAACCCGTGAGTAGGCTTCAGCAAGTACCAAAGCTGTAAAAAAAAAAGTAAGCAGTGTGATATATACTTGACATGGGTGGGCCATAAAGAGCACTCTTGCAGGATTAGTAGAGTCTTGTAGCTTTTCGCAGCTTACAAAAAAGTGTACGTGCAGTTGTGCCCATGAGTTCCGCCTTTCCATTTCCCGTTTCCACTGCAGTGACGTCTCTGGCACCAACCTCGTATGCCCACCTGACTACTCCGCCTGTGGCACAACACAATCTCCCAACGCAGCCTTTTGTGGCACATGTCAATCCTTCTGCAAGACTTGCCACCAATCTGCAGGCAAGTAAATAAACATCAGCAAAGTACGGTCTCAAGAGTCGAAACTCGATGCATGGAGGAAGGCATTTCAGAGTACAGCAAGCAACGCGTGGCAAGGCATGGCAAAAGACAAGGCAATGCACGGACAAGGCATGTCAATGCATGGCACAAGACATGGCACAAGGCATGGCACAAGGCATGGCACAAGGCATGAGCACAAGGCATGAACACAAGGCATGAGCACAAGGCATGAGCACAAGGCATGAGCACAAGGCATGGCACAGAGCATGGGACAATGCATGGCACAAGACATGACACACACACAGCGCATGGCACAATGCATGGGCACAAGTCAAGGGACAAGGCGTTGCACAATGCATGGCACAAGCCATGGCACAACGCATGGCGCAATGCATGGTACAAGACATGGCAGAATGCATGGGCACAAGGCATGGGACAAGGCATGACACAATGCTTGCCCGAATTATTAAAAAGCACCTCACCTACTTTGGACAATAAGAGGGGTGTAGAGTTTTCTCGCATTGAGATCATGCAAAATTACGATCAATCTAGGCTCTCTTACCGCGGAGCATCACCCTTCTGATCGTTTTTTACGCACTTGCCTGCTTGGCTGAACGTTTATTGCTCACACGTTATAACGCCCTCTTGACAACTCTTCTAGTTATAACCTTCATGCAGTCCCCACTGCAACTCTTCCTCAGCAGGAGGTGCGGGTATAGTGTCATTGGGCGCCATCATTGGCATTGTTGTTGCCGCTATGGTCATTCTCCTACTTCCTGGTGCAGCTCTGCTTTACTTCACACACTAAATCAAGCTTAAACCACAAGCTAGGGAGACAAAGCAACCAGAAGAGTTCATTTTGAATAACCAAACCATGTCTTGTTTCAACCATGGCGATAAGTGAGGAGCTAGTTCTCCATTGCATGAACTTAGACATCTGCATGCAAGTCTGCAAGACTAATCATGCTCGACTCGACAAAATCCAGCAGCCGAAACCGAGCTGTCAAATCTCTTGCCATGAAATGAGTGAGATCGAATCCCCACTAACAGCATGGCTTGGTGCACGCATTCACTTCAATCCCCAGCGTACAGGCCTGTATGCATGGCCACACAACTCTGGAACTTAAGTGGCACAAGGTGTTGAGGCAGTAGATGGTCTAAATCTCAGTTTCCAGGTTTTGGAGCTGCAAAGATTCGTAGAGGCTCGGCGTAGAATATCCCGTGAACTGATTGGCACGCCGCAAATCGATTCCCTAGAATGTTGGGCCAAGTCATGGGACTCGACTCGTCACATGATTCGACTGAGGCCGGCCGAACTCGACCTGACTCGACTCCACTCAACTCGTGCCCAGGCATTTTCCCCTGCACCCATGCACCTCCTTTCACATATGACCCCACGAGCAGGCTCGGGGAGCAGCCTGGCATCCTCGCACTGCACCGAATTCTCACTAGCAGAAGTCCTCAAGGCCACCAACGTCTGGTCCGAGGACAACCAGCTGGGCTCGGGTGCCTTTGGCGATGTGTACAAGGGTGTGTCTCCCCGCGATGGCATTACCATGTGGGCTGTCAAGCGCGCCAAGCTGATCGACGTGGACTTTCAAAAAGAGGTCAGTGAGTGAGCTGCACATGTGAAGGTTGCAAATTTTATTGCAGTGGTATGTTTTGTCAGTGAGCCATGGTGAACCATGGTGAGCCGTGATAAGATGGCATGTGTCAGTGACATCATTTTCAATCCCACGTCTAAGATTTATATGCTCTATTGAAATGTTACATTGCCATGATGTCTTTTGCTGTTCGACTAATTATAGATCGTGTCTTCAATGCTGGTAAATTAGGACATTCCCTTGGTTGCTTCTCCATTTGTTCTGTCATCCCTGATCATATTTGTTTCTTTTCCTCTGGCTGTGTGGATCAGATCCAGCAGATGGCCGACAAGAACCATCCCAACATTGTGAAGCTCCTTGGATTTGCGATCGGAGGAGACTTGAGGACTCGGCCAGAGCAAGTTCTGATCTATGAATATGTGCCCAATGGCGACCTTCACAGATGGATTGGTCCAAGTATGCGTGATACTCCTCCAGCGTGTTTTTTGCTGTGCCACGCAGATGGCGTGCTGTGCCGCGCAGATGTTGTGTCATAAATATGCCGTGCATTTATATGATGTGCCACTTATGCTGCACATCTTTGCAGAGGCAACCTGTGCTTTGTCATTCATGCTCTGCCACTCACGCTTTACCACCCATCCTCTACCACCCTTCCTCTATCACTCATCCTCTACACATCCTCTGCCACTTGTCTGCTGCCACTCGTCCCCTGTCATTCATCCTCTGCAATTCATCCTCTGCCACTCATGCTGTGCCAATCGTATGCTGTGCCAATCATATGCTGTGCCATTATATGTTGTGCCAATCATATGCTGTGCCATTATATGTTGTGCCAATCATATGCTGTGCCATTATATGTTGTGCCAATCATATGCTGTGCCATTCGTCCTTTACCATTCATCCTTTTCCACTCATCCCCTGCCACGTGTTTCTTGCAGAGGCATCCTGCCCTCTGAGTCTGAAGTAGCGGCTGGACATTCTCATCGGCTTGGCACGGGGCTTCGAATACCTCCACGGCTTTGGCATCGTGCAACGCGACATCAAGCCTGCCAACGTCCTCATCACCAACAGCATGCAGGCAAGCTTGATCGTCGTAGTGGATCCTGTCTAGTCAAGATGATATATATATATATACATATACATATATATATATAAGTTTGAACAAGGGGTCATTGGCACAACACTACACCAACTATGGCTGGAATGTCTTTCAACTTCATATATCGTTTCTCACAGCAACCATTTACTCAGCCCACTCACAAACCCTTTTACTTACATTTCATGCTCTTTTGTGGATGGCACCACAAGCGACCAGAGTTCTCACTGAGTGATTAATTCCTTATGCTACAATGCCGTCACCAGGCGAAGATTGCCGACTTTGGTCTGCTGAGGATGGGGGAGGGCACAACTGTGGGCACAACGCGCATCATGGGCACACCGGGCTATGTGGATCCGGTCTACTCCATCACGTCCAAGGCCACTGCAGCCAGCGATGTGTACAGGTGGGGCAGTGTTGTGTACAGGTGGGCCAGTGAGGTGTAGAGGTGATAATTGCAAAGGCCCTATGGGGATCCAGTCTACTCCAAGGCACCGCTGCCAGCGATGTGTGCAGGTGGGCCAGTGAGGTGTAGAGGTGATCATTGCAAAGGCCCTATGGGGATCCAGTCTACTCCAAGGCACCGCTGCCAGCGATGTGTGCAGGTGGGCCAGTGAGGTGTAGAGGTGATAATTGCAAAGGCCCTATGGGGATCCAGTCTACTCCAAGGCACCGCTGCCAGCGATGTGTGCAGGTGGGCCAGTGAGGTGTACATGTGAAGCAGTGATGCGTACAAAAGTCCTTGCTGGAAGTGCATAGTATTCAGTAGGAGTCAGCACCCAATAAGACCCGCCCCAAATCTTATGTGTGTGTGATATATGGACCTGTACATGTTGCGGTCAGGAAATAAAACTTATCTGAAAAGCATGTGCCTCTCCCCTCTTCTCTTCCTCTGCCATCTTGTGCCCTGAACATTCTGTGCCTTTGAACATGTCCGCTTTTTTTTCAGCTTTGGAGTGCTCATGTTGGTGGTCCTCACGGGACGAGAGCCAATCTCGGAAACTGCTGGAGAGAGCTGGAAGATAACTCCGTGGGTAAGTGCTTATCCCATGGGACCACCGCGTATGTAATTACCTCAACCCATGAAACCACCTTCCGCCACTACCACATGTGTGGTTGTGGTACTTCCTTTCTTTCCTCGTCCATTTTACACTAGTGGTCCTCACAGGGACGTCAGATCACTCTGTGGGTGAGCACCACTTGCCGGTACTTCCAAAGACTCAAATAGCATATTCTCCAAAGGAAATATTTCCAGCTTCTTGAATACCATATATGTACCCTCCCAATCCCTCCACCTGCTCCACCTTTCAACACTCCCTCCACACCCTGCAAACCCTCCACCCTCTCCAAACTCTCCACCTTCTCCCACCCTCAATCTTCTCAACCCCCTCAGGTGGCGGAGTGCCTGTCCAAGAATGACGTGGGGAGCCTCATGGACCCCACCATGGACGCCCCTGCTGAAGCTGTGCTGCGAGTGGCTCAGATCTCCCTCGCCTGCACTGGAGAGCGCACTGCAGACCGCCCAAGCATGGTGCAGGTTGCCAACGAGCTGCAGGCCATTCGCGAGGCAGTGGGGGGGAAAGAGGTGCTGTGTGCTGCAGTCAAGGTGGATGCGCAGGTGCAGGAGATGAAGGATGTTGTCGCCGGTGTCGCAAGCCTCGACACGGAAATTATGAAGATTGGAGAGCAGGCCTCAGGATAACAGGATGATTCACCTTTATAAGACGTGGTCTGAGCTGTGAATAAATGGGTGTTTCGCCTTTATGACACTCACTATATGGGTCTGTGCCCTTACAAGAGTGTGAATAATCTCTAAGCTGCCTCATAATTGTAGAGGGTGATGATGCACCTCCATATGGGAAAAACGTCACTCCAATGTGAGTGTGTGCTGCAACGAGTTAGGCGAAATAAAACGAAAAGAGATCATACTATCAAATGCTGATGTGCAAATTTCTTACTGATGGGGCAACTGATGTGTGTGTGTGTGTGTGTGTGTGTGTGTGTGTGTGTGTGTGTGTGTGTATGTGTGTGTGTGTATGTGTGTCAGGAGTACGACACAATACAAGATTGTTAAGACATATAGACTTTTAGAGCACCTTTGATGTTATGTGTTTTCTAGTGAACTTCCATTCTTTCTACAGGCTTGTTACATGAACCTTTTATTTTTCTTACATAAGCACTTGCAAAACATAGCTAGTGTGAAACATGTGCGCGTTTCAAAACTCAGCTCTCGTCGAGTCTAAAGACCCGTACAGAAGACACCAAGCTTAGGACCCGCAAAATCTGAAGCTTTTGTTTAGGTCGTGTAATGCTCAATGCGACGGTTGGGCGAAGAAGTCATGCCGCGAGTGCACTGGAAACGCAGCAGGTGCCCCAATCTGAGCAAAGAGTTTGCAGTGTGTGCAGGATCGTGCCAACTTGGTGTGGCCCAACGCCCTGCTGTCCAGCCCGAACCTGAGAGGGGAGTGGGGAGAGGTGGGGAAAAGGAGAGATAGTGACAGGGAGAAGGTGACAGGGGCAGAAGGTCACAGGAAGAAGGTGACAGGGAGAAAGGGACATGGGCAAAAGGTGACAGGGAGAAGGTGACAGGGAGAAGGTGACAGGGAGAAGGGGACAGGGAGAAGGGGACAGGGAGAAGGTGACAGGTAGAAGGTGACAGGGAGAAGGTGACAGGAAGAAGGTGACAAGGATGAGGTGACAGGGAGAAGGTGACAGGGAGAAGGTGACAGGGGCAGAAGGTGACTAGGCAAGAATCAGCGTGATACATGTGTTCCCCTGCACCCTGCTATCCAGCCCACACCTGGGGGGTGGGAGGGAGCAGGAGAGGCAGGTCATGAGGGAAAAACATGCTTTCCAGCCATGCCTAGGCATGCCAATGGCGACCGATCTCACATGTGAAGCATGAAGCCAGACGTTGGTTCTCAGATTCTGGCACAAGGAGATGGTATCTCAGGAAGCATGCAATTGACAGCTGAGCTTTCTCCTTCTGCATCCCAAAATTCGCTCAGCCGAAATCACTTTGAGAATGATGGTGACCCCAGAGTCACCCTCACAAGGAGACCCACAAGTTCACTCTATAGTTACCTACAGCTTACCCCAGACGGTGGCGACGTCAGCGACAACCGCCAACCTTAGCGCCCAACGTGGTAACAGAACATTCGACCAATCGAATCGGTTTACGGTTTGGGAGAGTACCCCGAGGTTACCCCAACCAACTTCGGCGGGAAAGTTCATGGCCGTGCCTATTTTGTCTCTACTCTGAATCTGCCAAGGCAGCCACGTACGGGAATGGTGAGTAAGCCTTTTCCTGTACACTTCGTTTCTCAACATGTCGAATTGACAAATTACGATTGTGTCTTCTCCGATTCTGAGTTTACTATCACATCGTTCAACATATGGTAGTTCCAGTGATGGGTTGGGTTACGTGGCACAATCTAGTTCACCAACCAATCGGAGCTCTTCAACAACACCTTCTACTGCCTCTCCTCTCCAAGCACCTTTCAAGTACTTATCCTCATCCATCCTGTTTCTCACTCGTCATTCCTTATGTCGTTTTCAGCTCATGATACTCACGTAGAGCAGTTACAATGAGAGCTCCACGCTGCTTACTTGAACAAGTAGCAGGTTGTCTCGATTAACTATGATGAGCTTCTAATGGTGGTTAGGTTTTGCTTACACATTTAGGAAATAGGTTCCTTCCCCTTTCTACTAGCGATGTCATAGTATTTTAGATGTTGCCGCAGTTTCAGTGACTTGCATCTAATCTATCGTAGTTCACGATCGTATCTTCATGGCAGATTATCGAACACGTGAGTGATGCATGATCTTCTCAAGGTCTACGCGTATCGACCTAAGAATTGGCGCTCGTCGTAAGGTGAGTTGAAATGCTGTACGATGGGGTTTCAGGATGAGCGTTACTCATTCCGCTTGCTTCATGGCATCACTATGTTTTTTTTTTGCCGCCGTTTTATTTGTCGGCATCCAGGTTTCCCTCATGCCTTCTCGCCATCACACGATTTGTTTCCTTGCAATTCGTTGCCTTCACCGCAAGGTTTTGCAGATGTCAAATCACCAAGGCATTAGCTTCCTATCTGGAAAGACTTCTTTTCTCGTGAGCATTAGGTGCATAATAGACACCAGCGGCGTGACTGTGAAGAAATGTTGCCCAATCCATCCGGGTCCTCTATATGTTTCCTCGTGCACTAATATTTCTCCTGTTCTCACTACTCATTCCTCACTCTTACCCCACCCCCCCCTTGGTTGGGTGCAAAATACTATTTTTGCACTGCAACCAGCCGCCTGCGTGATGTTATGCATTTTGTGTCTGTTCTGTGTGCATTCGTTTTCGCATTTCGTTTCGTGTGTTGTTACTGTCGGATCATGTTCGGTCATGACGGATCATGACGAGTCATGTTCGTTCGCTCATGTCGGCTCATGTACGCTCATGTTTGTTTTCATCAACGAACATGTGCGCTCATGAAAGTTCTGTGCTTCATGAGTGTTCTGTGTTTCATGAATGGCGAGTTATTTTCATGAGAGCTGTTGTGAATGTCGAGTGTGTTTGAGTTAGGGGCTCGACTGTTTGACCAGCCCCGTTGACCATTTCGCGCTGGTCAATGAAAAAGTGCGCGAGGTCAGGACCCGCGCGTGGGGTCCTGACACGCGCGTGTGGTCGTGCAGGGCCCACGCGTGTGTCGCCACTGTTTCGATCGTGCACAGTGGGCACGATCGATACAGAACGGAGCGACATGATCGCTCCGTCACGCGCAGGACAACGCACGATCGCGTCAGCGATCGTCTTGTCCTGCACGACCGAGAAATATCTCGGTCGTGATGAGGGGCACGTGGGGCACGTGGGGCACGCGATATTTTACGGTTGACTAACGGGATTTCGCGCTGACCAGGCGAGCAGGAAAATTTGCCAGAAAGTCGCGCTGCTTTGCGTCATTATTTCGACAGAGGTACAAAACGGTAAAGTCCGTTTGTAACTGAAGAAAACGGTAAACCCACACGAGTGTTCGTGATTTGTACACGAGCGATCATGAATGTTCACGAGGGGAGTCAGCAGGAGAATTTGGCAGCAGTGCAGTGGAAGACAGTTATTCTACAGAGGCAGATCAAGCCAAATTCTGAAGCAGTTTTACAACCGTTTTCCATGACAGCAAAGCGAAGACCTGGACGACAGTTAGACAACTGTTTTGTGCGTTCTCCTTTGTGCACCTAGGACCTCTCTTATATGTGTGCTTGTATTTGCTTCCATCAACAATGCTTTCATGATTTTCAAGCTTACAATCTACTACTACGTATTGACGAGAGTAGATACACAACGAACTTCTGCCGAAACTCTGCTCTACCAGAACGCTCATTCTGCAAACTAAGTGTGGCATAACTACTCGCTTGTTTCACAAGTGATGTTAAGTGTTGCCTAGCTTATGTTTGTGGTTCTGAGTTAATCGCTTCCGCATAGTACTTAGACTTAACACGTGGTATCAGAGCTGGTCATTAGTCGTTCCTGACGTACTCGACAATGGGAGAGACTGGTGAAGAAGGGAACTCAGCCCCCGCGAGCAGTGGTAGCCAGGAATCTGGAGTATCCGCGCATAGGGGAGCACGGACGAACCAGGGCCCGCTGCTAAGGGAAGTGTTGAAGAACTTCACAGTTGAAAAATTCAGTGGTGAAGGGTACGACGACTGGTCCTGGAAGATGCAGCTGTACTTTCGGCAGATTGGCCTTCTCAAGCTGATGATAGGCACCGAGAAACGACCAAGCACCCCGGAGCTGCAGAACGAGTGGGACGAGCGCTCATCCGCCGGGTACTACATTCTGTCCCAGAGTTTGGATCTCGCCCAACGCCAACACATCATGCACCTCCTCCCGGAGGAAGAGTGTGGACCCAAGGCATGGAGGGTGCTCAAGGATCTGCATGCCCCTACATCCGTTGTAGCTACCCTCATGCTGGAGAGGGAGCTCTCCTCACTTCGCCTCAGTGAAGGAGAACCCGTTCAACCCGTCCTTGACAAGTTGAGAGACCTCTACGCCAAACTCGCCATCGCTGGAATTGTCTACCCCGAACAAACCAAATGCATGAAGATGTTGTCGCTGCTGCCGGAGTCATGGATGATCTTCACAAGCGGCCTGAGCCTCCCTCAAAACCAGAGCTCTTGGACCTTGGAGTGGATCCGCACCAAAATCCTCGAGGAGGACTTCAGGAGGCGCCAACTGAGGGGAGGTGAAGAGGGGAGCAGCAGCTACGCCATGCAAGGAGGAAAACGGGGCAGAGGCAAGAAATGGCAAGGGGCTGGGAGAGGAGCGTCCAAGGAGGAGGAGCCCTCCACCCAGCAAGGCGGTAGAGGAGCAGGACGTGGTGGCGGCCGAGGCGGCAGAGGGGGAGGAAGGGGACCGGGGAGAATGGAGGGCAAGTGCTGGTACTGTGAGAAAGTGGGCCACCCGTGGTTCAAGTGCAGGACTAAACCCACCTGGTGGACCCCCTCCAACAGGACTCAAGATGGGAGCGGCGCCGGAGCGGTTGCCGATGATGAACCGACCGAGCAGGAGGAGAGGGAAGCCGGTCAGTTCTTCCACGTTGGAGAGCCGGATGAGAACGCAGTGGTCGCCCATGCTGGAGCTGCACTGCACCCGCTCAACACGTGGATTCTAGACACAGGAGCGGCATGGACCATGACTCCAAGGGCCGATCTCCT